GAGCCACAGGTGCCGCCTTCTGATTTCTTTTGTAAGTACTTGTGCACAAGCCCTGGACTCCAAGGCGCAACATGCCCAAGGCTACCCTGTGGCTAAGAAAGGGCTCCTCCCCCTCCCCAGAGGACCCCTCACCGCAACTGTAGGAGGCTGGGTGTGTTGCAGTGGATAGTGCCACTGAGCTGGTCTAGTGTGTAGTAAAGAGGTACGTCCGGGAGCTCCTGTAAGGGGGTGTGGTGGAAGGGATGGGCTCAGGCAGAGATGGGTAGGCACAGGTGGAGCCCCCTCCCAGTCACAGCTTGGCCCCCACCTCAGTGATGACACTCAGGACCCCTCGGATCCGATCTGAGGTGTGGAAGCGGCTGGGGTTGGTGCTTACAGCATCCAGAACGTGACTCACAAAGTCCAGATCATGTATGGCCTCTGCCCACACAGGACCACCAAGCTGCAGACGTACAAAGGAGAGGTGACCAGGGAACATGACCTCTGGGACACCTGGCATACTCCTCACTTCCCCTGACCTGGCTTTACCTGGTGTCGCTGCCCACAGTACTCGCACTCGGAGGTCACAGGGGGACCACAGGCCGCAGAGTACTTGACCCTGCACAGAGAGGGGAGATTAAGGGGTGGCAACTGGGACACCTCTTCACCCTCTTCACCAACAAACCCTTGCTCACCTGCCACCAGGGGCTCCTGATGTTTTGCCAAGGCGCTGGAGGTGGAAGGTACCACAACCCACACACTGGAATACTAGTGCCTGCTTGCTGTAGAGGGTACCAGGAGTGACCACGAGTTCTCAGTGTGGTCACTACATCCCAAATTCTCCCTTGGTCTGGCTCAATCCCCTTTAAAATCCCCAAGTACCCCCGGGGCAAGGTCTTATCTCCTCAATTCATCACCCTCCCCCGACACCAAGCTGACCTGGCTGAGGCCTTGACCTTGGCCTGGCCAGTGAAGACACGAACAAAAACACGCACATAGAAGTCGGCGCTGATACTGAGTAGTGGCACCACAAAACGCTGGTAGCAATTGGCGTGGAGGTCCAGGCTGTGCAGGATGATTCTCAGGGCCTGGGGGTGGGTGGGTGTCATCCCTCCTTCCACTGTCCCTGGCACCCCACCACCAGCACAGGCTGAGGGCCAGACCCCTGGGTTCCAAACCTAGTCCTGGTAGGACCCTGGACACGTGAATACCACCACTTCTGTGCATCTCACTTTCCTTATTTGCAAAATCACAACAGTCCTTACCTCTCTGTGGCCCTGCTGGCGGCATTCAATGACTGAGGAATGCACAGGCCCAATAAATGGAACCTATTTCTTTCTTCCTTTTTTTTTGAGACAGAGTCTCACTTTATCGCCCTCGGTAGAGTGCCATGGCGTCACAGCTCACAGCAACCTCCAACTCCTGGGCTTAGGCAATTCTCTCTCTTGCCTCAGCCCCCTAAGTAGCTGGGACTACAAGTGTCCACTAGAACGCCCAGCTATTTTTTTTGTTGCAGTTTGGCTGGGGCCGGGTTTGAACTCGCCACCTTTGGTATATGGGGCTGAAGCCCTACCCACTGAGCCACAGGCATCCCCCAAATGGAACCTATTTCAATTAGCACTATCAGCAAGCACTGCAGAGTGTACTGTGGGCAGAGGACCTATGTTCTGGTGCTGTGGGCAGGAATTGGGGACACTAGGTGATATAGAACTGCCAGGAAACTCTGACATGGGAAAGGAAGCATTTCCCAAAATGACATGAAGACAGAGCCTTTATAGAACAAGCACAAGGGCTCCTCCTTTCCCAGCCCCTCAACATAGCTCCAGCCTTCTTGAATCCCCATAGCAACACAAGAGGGCCGGGCCATCGTCATGCCCATTCTATAGTAAATGCAAAAACTGAGGCTCAAATCAGTGGCTCATACCTAAAATCTTAGAACTCTGGGAGGCTGAGACAGGTGGATTGCTCAAGACCAGGAGTTTGAGACGAGCCTGAGTAAGAATGAGAACCCATCTCTAATAAAAATAGAAAAATTAGCTGGGTGTGGTGGCGGGTGCCTGTAGTCCCAGCTACTTGGGAGGCTGAGTCAGAAGGATCACTCTAGCCCAGGAGTTTCAGGTTACATTGAGCTATGATGACACCACTATACTCCAGACTGGGTAATGGAGTGACACCCTGTCTCAAAAAAAAAATACAAAAAAAACCCCAAAACAAAAAGGAAACAACTGAGCCCTGGAAAGGCAAAGTTGAGTCACTTGCTCAGAGCTACTAGCAAAGGTAGGATTTGAATGTAGACCTAGAAAAATGACCTAAAATTTTTTTTGTTAAGTTGTTATAACCCCAAATAATAGAACAATGTATCCACCCACTCTTAGAATCCTAGGCAAAGCCACTGGCCCCAAATACCCATGATAAGCAGACCATATTCTTAGGAGCTATGCCAGTTAAAAACGTGCTTGTCATTAATAACCTGGGACAGATCTGGCCCTAGCTGCCTGCAGGAAACTGAGTGAGTCTGAGGGGTGGGAAGGTGCAGTGGGGGGTCAGAGAGACAACTTAAGAGCTCTGATATCCCTGGCCAGCTGGCAGGGCCCCTCACCATCTCATGGCAGGCCCGGCTTTTGAGGGCCATGGCCCCATACTTGCTGTAGCATGTCTCCCCACTGTTTCCTGCCAGCACCGCCATGTCCGTGCAGGTCACACACAGCAACCCTGTGGGGAGGGGCTGGACAGTGAGGACCCTCCAAATACTGCAAACCCGGCTCCATACCCCAGCATCAGCCCAGTCTCACCTCCTTCGCTCACAGCCTGCACAGCTGCGTCCAGGAAAGGGGCAGGGCTGCCATAGGGGTCCAGGTCAATGACATCAAACCTCTCTGACACTCGCTGGTGCTGGTACATCAGCATCCTGGGTGCAAGAGGGCCAGGTCCTCAGCCTTCTGCAGCAGTTACCTGCTCTGTTCCCTATACATGTTACAGTGCAATGAACTCAGGGACCAGTTTCCCAGGGTTGGCCATGTATTAACTGCATGATTACCCTCCTTAGATGGACCTTAGTCTATCCACCTATAACAATGACAATGACAATAGCCAATATTGAGATAGGACATACATGCCTGGAATTGTTTCAAGCAGTTTATAGATTTGTTAACACATTTAACCATGTAATCTTCCAAACAACTCCATGGGCTGGGAACTATTATTGCTCCCTTTGTAGATGAGGAAACAAACCAAATGCTACTTATTTCTGGCAAAGAGTATGGGCTACATAGTCATTATCTATTATTTAATCAGCACAGCAATCCCTGCAAAACTACTGTTCTCATTTGACAGATAAGGAAACTAGGGCTCAGAGAGGCTAAGTCCCAAGGTCATACAGTGAGAATATGATGGAACCAGGATTTGACCCCAGGCAGCCTTGCTCCAATGCTAGGCTGTGGTGCCCCAAACCTACCGGGCATCTGCCTGGCTGGGCTGTACTAGATGGGCCACATCATTGAGCTGCACATTACGGTGCATAAGATCCATGGCTCGGGCAGATGCATCATTGGCAACCACAGATCGGAGTCCAGGCACCTCTCGGGCAAATCGAATGGAACGTAGGCCGGAAGCTGCCAGGCCCTCCAACACCTGTAGGCCTTCCTGTTGGAGTAAGCAGGGAGTCCCACTCACATCTCAATCTCCATCCTCTTCTGGGCCCCAAAGAGCTTCCATCACCCAATTCCTATGGCTCTCCCCCTCCAGGAGCCCTCCTCCCTCTGCCACCCACTAAATTACAGAGCTGCCACCCCCTATGCTCAGGTCCCACCTCACAGATCTCCCCTACGACGGCTGTTCGAGAATGGTCTCCTGGAGCTGGGTTTTCACTCTCTTTCTCTTTCAGTTCAACCTTTTCCTCCTTTTGCTCCGACAAGGCCACAACCACCTTTTGCAGGTCTTTCTCACCTGGCACCTTGACTGCCACCACCCAAAAGGCACAAGTCAGGGAGTATGAAAGCCCCTTCTGAGAAACCTCCCCTTAATCTTTAGAAAACAAGAGATGAGTGGAAGAAAATCTTACCGAAGGTCCTAGGGAAAGGCTGAGGGAGCACAGCTCAGGGCATACTATGTAGCTGGAGCCTTTCTGGGGTTTGGGGAGAGAGAGGCCCAGGCAAGGAGAGAGCTTTGGGTAACCCCCAACCCACCAGGAACCTGGAACTCCCCACTCACTCTGGATTCCTTTGGCTGCAAGCTTCATGCGAGCAAACTCGGTGATCACAGCACATCTGTAGGAGACAGAAGATCAGCTCATACTCCTTCATCCTCATTGACCACTCCACTCAACCAGGCTGACCCCTGCCCCTGCTCACGTTAGGTCCCGGTTGAACTCCTGCACCGGGTTGTAAAAGACCTCGTTGGTGCTGGGGAAGGCGATCTTGGCAGCTCCCTCGGTGATTGTCGTCTCCTGAACCTCCCATGGGCACTCTTCTGCGCAAAGTCCAGTGCCGTTCTCCATCGCTGCTGGATTCAGCGGCCTTTGAGACTCCCCCTCCGCAAACCAACTCTATAGAGACTACGGGCGGATCAGAGAGCGAGACTTAGCCATGGAATTTCTCATGTGAATCATCTATAGGCACTTCTGCCCTCCAGGCCAGGCTCGAGGGACAGGAAGGGCATAGAGAGAGGATCAGACAGTTGTATTCCCGGGCCAGTATCCCTCGCATCTATAAAATAGGGACTAAGGAGATCCTGCGGCCTCGGTAAACTGACACCACTTCATTGTCGGAGGGACTGAGCCCTGAGAAGCCCTCGTTCGAGCCTTCCTTCGGTCCGAATCCCTGCTCGCGCTGTCCAGCTCCTTCTCACCTTTCATGGAACAGAAAACCGAACTAGTTTTAGTGCACGTTTCCTGAATTAAGACGTGGGCGCCACCATGCTGGCACAGTAGGTAGGCAAATCACATGACAATAGTTAGCCAATCAGTGAAGCTATCTACGGATGGCAGTCGGGATCAAAATGCCCCCACAAAGGAAGCGCGCTGAACTCTGTGCAGGGTCCCTTAATCACTGCAGCTCCCTTGGAGAACACGTAACTAGTCCCATTTCAGAGATGAGGAATTTGTGGCTCAGAAAAAGGGCGGTAAGCGGAGAAACCAAACATCTACTGAAGGTCCTCTGTGTGCTGGGCTCTCTCGGGACCTCACTTTCCTTACCTCTTAAATAAAAATCTTAGTTTCCAAGGTAGAGCAAAGGTTAAATGACAATGCCTGGAAGGTGTGCAAAGCAGTCAGTCTCACGTAAGCGCGCAGTAGTTTCTAAGCAGTGTATTAAGGCAAGAGTGTAATGATCTCGGTCGCCTAGTTTGAGTCTCAACTCATCCTGCTACTTTTTCTTAAATCTGTACTTAAGTTCTCCCATTCGCAAAATGGGCAAGAGTTTTTCTGACATTAGTTACTAGGTCGTGGTGAGAATTAAACAAGTTGGTGCAAGTAAAATGTTAACGGAATCTGGCATCCGATAAGCATCATATAAGTCTTAGCTTTTATTGTCGCTTGAGCCTGGGCTTAAATCCTGGCACCCGCCATCACTTCCTTGCTGTGTGATATTTAATAGGTTTCTTCATCTCTGTTCCTCCGTGTGTGTGTGTAACAGTTCCTATATAAAAATGCTACTGTAAAGTTTAAACGAGCTAGTTCCCATAAACAGCCTAGAATAGTGCCTGGCACCATAAATAGCAGTCACTGTTTTTGTTTTACAGGACTCTAAAGTTCAGAAAGATAGAGCGACTTGCCCAAGGTCGCGGGACTAGAAGGTGGCGGGGTCGGGATTTGAACAACCCAGCAGAGCCAACGTACGTATAGGCGAGGATCTCAGGGGCGTACAGAGGAGACCGAGCCTGGAAGAAGGGGCGCGCTCGGAGCTCGGCTGGCCTGGCCTAGGGGGCGGGGCCTGGAGGCGGTGCGCGGGCGTGGCCGCAGCCGCTCCTCCCTGGCCCTGCTGCGGCGGCGGCGCGGCTTGCGCTGGTTCGGTGCTCGGTTGGGGCGGCCTGGCCCACAATGAATGGCCGCCGCGGCTGCCGCTGCTGCTGAAGCGGAGGCCGCGGAGGCGGAGGCCGAGGCCCCGGCGCAGGGGGGCGCGCCCCGGGCGCAGGCCCGGCCCCAGCCGCCGCTGCGGAGCCCGCCGGGAGTTCCCGGAGCGTGGCCACGGTGCAGGTGAGGCTGCCCGCCCCAGCCCCGGTTCTGGCCTCCTCCCGCTGGGGCGGCCTGAGGGCTAAAAGGGGAGGGCCTGGGGGTTTTCTCTGACAGAGGAGGAGTTGGGCCGCAGCCTGAACTGTGCTCGAGCCCGCGAGTGTGCAGAGCCCGGCCACCGCAGACGGCCTTGAGCGTCCAGCCCCGGGCCGGGCCTCGGGGTGTTCGAGCGGCGGGATCGGGCCGAGACCCCCACCATCACTCCCAGTGAGGGGGCCAGGTCGGGCAGGGCAGGTCCCGGTGGCTCCGGGAGGTTGAGGAACCGGAGGAGGAAAAGTGAGGAGACTCTTGGAGATGCCGGAGGGGGAGGGGAAGAGTCGGACTCCGGGCCGGCCGAGTGGGGGAGGAGAGGAGAGCTGCGCGGCCGGAGGGAAACGGCCCCTAGGGGGGCGGGGAGAGGCCTGTCCCGCAGGTACGGTCGGGGCGCCGGAGGTGGGTGGGTCAAGTTACATGCCTGGGGGCGGTTGAGAAGAAGCCCAGGAAGTGGGGCATGGTGGGTGTGGGCGGAGTTAGTTCGGGTGGGGGCGAATAGGAGATCCCGGAGATGATTGCCGGGGTGGCATGAGGTCAGCGCTCTAAGAGATGTTGGGGGAAGGCTAACTTCGGGAGCAACTATAGGAGCTTTGGAAGTCGGGACAGGCAGAACCTTTGGCTAGGCTAGGGGGGATGTGGGGGCAGGTCAGGAAAAACTAGTGCGGCCAGAAAGTGTATGCCAAGATGTACCCCCTCACTTCCAAGTGTTAGCTCAGGATCACACTCATGGCTTTTTCTTTTTCTCACAACTTATCCCTGAAGCCTCTAAGTCTCTGACCTACCCCTTGGGCAAGCCTTTACCAATTGTTCAAAGACACTGGCCAGTGGTGTTTGTGTGGGCAGCTGGAGACAATTTGAACACCTAACTCAGGCATTTTGTTTACCACCGGGATTACCCTCACCCACTACTTCCCCACACATCTCCAAGAAGCAGCCCAACAGACATTACTTGAGTGTCTTAGGGTCCTGGATTCTTTGTGTGACCGGAGCCTGGAGGCCCAAGCCTGGGGGATAGGACCTCGCAGTGGCCACCATATACCATGGCCTCCCAGGCACCAGTTCCCTGAGCCTGAATTCTGTGGGTCGCCTCCCTGGAGATGAAGAATTGGGGAGGTGAGCAAATAAATCCGTGCTAATCCTGATTTGGAGGCTAATGATGGGGTGAAGGCAGGTTGCAAAGAAGAGGTTAAGAGGATCCTGAAATCAGGCATCCATCCTCTGGTCCTGGCCTTTGGACTTACCAGGCACAGGACTCTACCTCTGGGTTGCTCATCCTGAGCCAGGCCCTGTGCTGAGCTTGCTGGTGGGATGAGCTCATTGATGGCTCACCACCACTGGGTCAGCTTAGTCCTCTGTGGTCCAGACAAGGAAGCTGAGGCTGGGGGGGTGGGGTGGGTGGTGGTGGTGGTGTGGCTTGTCCCAGGTCATGTGACTAGATAGTGGCTGAACTGGGATTGAGTGACTCTCAAACCCATTGTTGCCCGGTTGGCCTTTCAGGGACATTACTGAAGGAGCTTCTCATTGTTCCAGATTTCCTAGTGGGGATTCTTGGCCCAGGCCTTTCCTCCTGCCCCTCCCAAAGGATGGGTCAGTCCCCAGTTGGGACAGGCTGAGTTTCCCTGGTGTCCCAGGGGACTGGAACAGTGGAAACTTCTTTATTAGAGGCCTGGTCACCCCTTTTCCTTCATTGCCCTTTTGGGAGCCAGAAGGTCAGGGTTATGGAACTGTGGGCTGGCCGTGGGAAGTGATCATGAGGATGGAGTCTGGTACTAGAGCTGGATTTTGCTTTGCTTGCCTGGGTTATTTGGCCCCCAGTAGAACTGTGTTGCTTTTGTTCCTTTTTTCTGGGCTAATTGCAAGGCTGTTACCAGGGTGTTCTCGGGACTTTGATTTTAGATCCTCAGCACCTGAGGCAGGAGACACACACTGCTGGGTCAAATGATATCAGCCAGTTCTTCCAGGTTTAATGATGGGTTGTCACCCTAATTCCCCTTTTCCCCTTTCTCGCTCTAGTTCCCAGGACTACCCACCCCCAAACCTGTGCCCTGCCCTTCTCTCTGGGTGGCCTGCTGGTGCTGGGAGTAGGAACTGAGTCCACAGCCCCACATAAAGAGACTGACCTTCCTGTCTGATTGGTCCAGAGCTTGCTGCAGGGACTGGTGCACACAGAGAGGGTTGGGAGTGGAAGTACCATGCAGTCACTCAGCTAAAACAGGGACAGAGACTGATGGGAGCTGGCCCAGATATGTGAATGGCTGAGAAGGGGATCTGGCCTGGAGCTGGAAGACCAGGTGCTGGTAATAACTGCTTCTTAGTGAGAATGTAGCAGTGACTGTGGGGCAAGTGCAACAAGTAGATGGCTCATTAGGACAGTTGTGGCTCATGCCTGTAACCCTAGCACTCTGGAATCTGAAGCCTGTGGCTTGCTTGAGCGTAGGAGTTTGAGAACTGTCTGAGCAAGAGAAAGACCCCTGTCTCTATTAAAAATAGAAAAACTCACTGGGCTTTGTAGCAGGTGCTGTAGTCCTAGCTACTCAGGAGGCTGAGGCAGGAGGATCTCTTGAGCCCAAGAGTTTGAGGTTGCTGTCTCTGTCTCAAAAAAACAGTTTTATTTCGATGCTGGGGGCCAGCTCTCTACTGGGAAGTAGGGGGTGGCAGCAGCTCTGAGTAACAGATCTGGAGCAGCTTGCTCTCAGGCATCTCTCATTCTAGTGAAGGTGATGCCCTCAGACAAGCAAACAATCAGGATAACTTCTACATTTATTATGTTTACAAAAGGGTGAAGTTGTGGTGAGCTAGTGAGGAATGGAGAGATTTCCACTGGGTGATCCGGATGGCTTCCGAAGGCAATGATCTGCATAATAACAAATTATTGGCCAGGTGCAGGGGCCCATAGTTGTAATCTGAGCACTCTGAGAAGGCCAGGGCCCAAAGATCACTTGAGACCAGCCTCAGCAAGACCAAGACCGCCTTCTTTACCAGAAATAGAAAAAATTAGCCAGGCATGGTGTCATGGGCCTGTAGTCCCTGTTACTTGGGAGGCTGGGCTGAGGCCAGAGGATCCTTGAGCCCAGAAGTTGGAGAATGCAATGAGCTATGGTGACACCACTACATCTGCACTCGAGCCTGGGCAACAAGTGAGACTTTCTTAAAAAAAAAAAAAAAAAGAAGAAGAAGGAAGGAAGGAAGGAAGATAAGAAAAAAAAGAAATATGCTGGGGGTTTGGGGGCAGCTTTGGGGCTGGGAGGAGCTAGTGTTCTAGGCCTGAAGACCAGCACATTCACAGCTTTTGTTAAGTATAAAGGCCAATCTCTTGCTAATTGTTCTGAACATTTTATCTTTGTTAGAGTGATACTAGCCTAGAGACTGAGACCCTTACAGCTACAGCAAGAAAAGCCTGGCTCAGGGTCTCCTGGATCTCCCCATAGCTCCCAGTTGAAAGTTTAGACACTTTGGCCTGCATCCAGGGTAAGTTGAAATCTGGCACCCTGGCTGGGTACCCGGGGAGCCCCAGCTGGTTCTTGAGCTGGGCTTTGAGGAAATCTTAGTTTTAGTCAGTCTTACAGGATCTTTGAGCTGGGTCAGCCTGGAGGCACAGGAAAGAGTTAGGGGTTGGGACAGAGAGGCCTGAGCCCAGAGTTAGCCTGAGATGGAGAAAGTGAGCCTGACAGGCTTGGGTGGGGCACTGTAGCTGAAAAAAACCCAGGCAGTGTTCCTTGCCATTTTATTCCTTCTCTTCGGTCCTCCCTACCCTTACCAAGCCCTCTTGGATTGCTTTGAACACTTTGTACATTTTAACTCATTTAAGCCCATGACTAGCAAGTCCTGCCTCTTGTCATCACCGTTTGGGACATATGGAAACTGAGGCACAAGTCCTTCCCTCACAGCAGCTCCAGAGCAACCTGCCAATTGTTTCCGAATCTTGCAGCCAGCCTGTGCTGTCCCCAAGCTACCTACATGTCCCTTGCCTCTCCAGGTTTTCTGTGTCCCCTCAGCCCAGAATGCCATCCCCTGGAGAGCTTTCTTGCCTGCAGAACTGGGGAGCTGGGACTGGGCCTGCCAAACAGGTTGGTGTGAGGACCCGGTGATCCTGCAGAGGTGATATGTTAAAGGTTGTATTGTCTAGACCCTAAGGACTGAGGACTTCGTTTCAGAGTCGTGTTTTCTGAATTAAGCAGAGGGAGAGGGTAGGTAAAGATGAGAGTAAAATTTCACAGTTAGCACTATAATACTCAGCCATAAATGAGAAAGGGCAGAGGTCTTGCCCCCCTGTGCCTCAGTTTCCCCCTCTGATGAGTAGGTACAGGCAGGCGTACCTGTACCTCAGTGATTCTTTTTTTTTTTTTTTTTT